CAGAAGTCTGTAATTGGACTCCTAAGGGATTCAAAGTTAGCTCTGACATTTAACAGTGGAGAGAGGAGGTAGTGCAATTGGTGTTTCAACCCCTCAGAGAGGGGCCCATACCATCAGGTACAAATACCTGTCCCCATCCTTTGTAACCCATGCCCCTTGACAAGCAAATGCTACTTAGGTAATGGTGAATGACTCACTCAGTCCTTCTGTCATACAACAGTTCCACTGGCCTTGATTCACAGAATCAGGGTAACAAAACTTTATTCTTCCTGTCCCAATAACAGAGAAACTGGGGATCCCACACCAGCCAAAGTAACCACTTTGAGTTGCTGTGGTTTCGTGTCAGGCGAGTGGGTGTGCCTATGCAAACAAGATCAGCCCCTGGAGTTCTTTTCCACACTCGCCATAATTCACCACCAGATGTCAGGGTAGAGCTCATCCTGACTCTGCTTACAGCTATATTTGCTTTCCACAAGCATAACCTTCTATGAGTGATGTACCCAAATATTTAGATGCTACTACTTTAACTGTATTGCTGAATTTATTGACCTTAATTTGGGATACTGCAGATTATGTACTATATGTATCTTAAGTATCAGGGGGTAGCCCACCATGCAAGGCACTAAATTTAGCCATATGAAGTGGAAATCCATCAACCTCAACAACAAAATCTGTTAGTCTTTAAGGTGCCACCAGACTCCTTGTTGTGTATGTATCTTCTGACTTTCAAACCAAATTTTGTACTTTTGGACAAATTAATCACTATACCCAGATGTATACACACTCAGGATTAAACAAAGACTGTGAATGGCTAGCCAACTACAGAAGCAGTTTCTCCTCGCTTGGTGTTCACACCTCAACTGCTAGAAGAGGGCCTCATCCTCCCTGATTGAACTAACCTTGTTATCTCTAGCCTGACTCGCTCTTGCTTGCATATTTATCCCTGCCTCTGGACATTTCCACTACATGCATCCGACGAAGTGGGTATTCACCCACGAAAGCTCATGCTCCAATACATCCATTAGTCTATAAGGTGCCACGGGACTCTTTGCTGCTTTTACAGATCCAGACTAACACGGCTACCCCTCTGATACTTTCTTAACCTGTGTATTATATAATTTTAACATAAGCTCTAATAACATTTTTATATTGAAGAGGTCCACACCCTCTCAACCATCATAAGGAGTTGTGTGAACAAATTGAGGATACACAAA